CCCCAATATTCTTGCCTGGAAAACTCCCATGGACAGAGGAGCCTGGTGGGCAACAGTCCATGGGGTCGCAGAGAGTCAGACAGGACTTAGTGACACACAGACACACACATCCATGGCCCCCATGATACACAGACGATTAACCAAGACGACATGTGTGGGGACATTCGTAAATAGCTCTGCACAGATATTGACTAGGTGTAATTAACAATGATGGGTCACTGATAATCCTGATATGATCCTTGCATGATAGATGGGGCTTCTTAAAGTAGGGGGGACCTCACCTTGGTCAGTCTTTTCATCCCCAGCAGCTACGGCAACCCACATCATAGGTATTGACACGCTGGCGTGGATCCAGGCCCGCCCACTGGCAGGAAGGCTCTTGGGGGCACATGCACACCCCAGACGCAAGCACAGGGTTCATTCATAATGGTCTGGCTGGGGTGATTGCTGGGTGGATTGTAGAGGACATCCCAGATGAAGTTCAGTCTTGAGATGGGTGGTGGTCACCAGGAGGCCAAGGCCGAAGAGGGTTCCAGGCTGGGGGGTGCGGGAGTCAGGGCCCCGAGGCAGCAAACAGCCTGTCTGTTGTCACTGGTCCCAGTGGTTCAGCTTGGCTGCTGCACACCGAGGCCTCCAGGTCTGCGGGGCAGAGGTCAGCCTGGGAAAACTCTCGGAGAAGTTGCATAGCCTGCCAGGGAGCTGGGATTTTATCCCTAGGGCGCTTGAAGGGTTTCCAGCTGGGGCAGTATGATCACACACGGTTTAGGAGGCTGGGATGACCACCTGCCCCCCTCTCCACCCCCTGGTTTGGCGTGGGGCATCCACGACGTCCCTGGCTGGCTCTGCGGATCGCACCCCCACTCCCGGAAGTGGGGCGGGAGGGCCTGTGAGGCCAGGGTGTACAGGTCTGCCCCGCACGCTCCCTCCTGCTCCCTGGCTCTCGGCCAGGCCTCTGAAGGGTGTGGAGTTGAAGTGGAGAAGCCACGAGTGTGGGGGTTCCCGTTGGGCTGCAGGCTGCCTGACCCCGTCTGCGCTCTGTGGGTTTACTGGGGAACCGGTGCAGGGGCCCTACTCTGAACCTGGTGTGAGGGACGCGGAACAAGCCCTTCCCAAGTGATGGTGTATTTGTTGTTCCTCGTTTCCTGGGTTTGAAGCATGTAAGCCTTTCTCTTCTAGCAGATTTTAGTCTTGAAGAAGGGACTGAGAGAGGCTACCATCAGAGAGCTGGGCTGCGTCACTTCTGCCACCTCCGTGTCCCCTCTGTCCCCAAAGAGCCGCTTCCTCTGCCTCTCGCTGGTGGGGGAGGGGCACAAGGTGCAAGCCGGCCGTCCCGGCCTGGGATCACGCGGCCACAGCCCGGGCGCTCAGCACGGGGCCCCTAACCTGAGGGAGCAGGAGTGAGTGGTCGATAAGCTGTGGCCCAGGGTCGTCATCACTTAAAGCCGCTGCATCACTCCTGGAGAAGCTCTTGTTCAGTTGACTTTTGCAGCTTCCCAGCCCTGCAGCTCTGAATTAGGGACTTGGAGACAGGAATCCTGGCCTTGGCCCCAGGCACTCACCGCAGCCTTGTGCAGGAACAGTCGTGGCCATAAATACCCATGGCCCGGGGTGGCCGGTGCTACCCGGGGAGTTAGGCAGGGAGCCCAGCGCTGAGCAGTGGCCTGCGGGCCTCCTGCTGGTGCTCGATGCTGGCCACTCTGGGGCTGCCCACTCGTCAGCCTGGCCAGTTTGAGCACAGCGTGGCAGCAGAAGTTTAAACTGAGCAAGGGCCAGCCTGGGCCTCTTGGCTCCCCGCCTCTGAGAGGTGGGTGTGAGCTGAGGTGGCTCCAGGGAGCTCAGCTGTGGCTGAGGCAGGAGGCTGCAGGCGCAGAGGGCACTGTGAAGGGGCCGTGTGCCTCCTTGGCAGAGCCAGAAGTGGCCTGTGGGAGGCCCCGGGGTCAGACAAACATGTGCTGGGGGAACTGAGCTAGGCGCTTGGGAGTTCTTCTGTCCCAGGTGCCCAGGGTTTGTCGATGGGTTTGTGCTCGTGGGTGTGCCTAGGAGACCTGCAGAGCCTGACTGGCATCAGCAGCGGGCCACGGTCCCCCTGCTGCAGGAGCAGATCTTGGGGACAAGAGCACATCGGCTGACTTGGAATCTTAATTGCGGTGTCCTGGGTGACTGTTGTTTCAGTCACTGAGTTGTGTCCAGCTCTTTTTGTGACCCCATGGACCACAGCCCGCCAGGCTCTTCCGTCCGTGGGCTTCTCCAGGCAAGAATGCTGCAGTGCGTTGCCATGCACTTCTCCAGGGCATCTTCCCGACCCAGGGAGTGAACCTGTGTATCCTCTATTGCAGGCAGAGTCTTCACCAGGGGGCCAGAGGGGAGGCCCTGCCAGGTGACTAGGAATGGCTTAAAGGGAAGTCAGGCTCTTCAGCACCACGGACAGTGCCCTCTTGGTTGGCGGAAGGAGGCTGGCCACGCTCCTGCTGGGAGCACACGGGGCCCTGGTCGTGCCTAGGCCCTGTGCACTGAGTGTCCTCGTTTATCAAGTGGGGAATCGCAGGTCCCCGCTTCCAGGTCTGTGTGAGGAGTCAGTGCAGTGTCCATAGCACAGTGTCTGAAGGTGGGAGCCGCGTCATGGGCTCCAGGGTGGGGTGGGTTCAGTCCTGCCACTTCTAGCTGTGTTCTCTTCTTCTTATCCCCATGGGCCTGAGGTGGTTTTTTTTTTAATCTCTGAGATGGAAATAATAGTCCCTGTCTTATACCCACCACATTCTCAAGCCTTAATTTGAAAACAGTGAGTATTTTTAAACTGAGAAGATCCACTGGGCCTCCCTCATGGGACTCACTTTGGAAATACTCTCTTTGCAGCAGAAGTAGTGATGGGAATTATCGTCATCATCATCATTCTTTATTGACCTCTTGCCCCGAATGCCAGAGTCTGTGTATTTAAGAAAGAGCAGCCAGTGCCACGTCCACTGTCCTCACTATAACATCGTCACCCGGGCTGTGAGGTGGCTGATGAAGGTCTCAGTAGCTGACTGATCAGCCAGGGCTGTGTTCATGTGTCCAGGCTCAGACACAAGGCTGTTTTGGTGGCTTATGGGGCCGAAGGGGAGGGGGACGGCCATGCAGGTAATTGGCTTTATTAGCTCAGCTGTATAATTTTATGGCTCATGTCCGAAAGCAAATTAATACAGAAATATGCTATTAGAATGGCTTCCAAAGCCCCAGTGCCACTTGGCAACTTTGTAATTACTCATTCGCTTACTCGCCCTTCTAACTAATCATTTCAGAGCTCTGCATCCTGGCCATGTTCGTCAGGCACTATTTCTGTTCTTCAAGCGCCATGTGTGGTCAGCCTCAAAAGCCTGCCGTGATTTTCTTTTTTTTTTTTTAAACAAGAGGCAGTAATCTGCCATATTCTGAAGTCTTAATTTCATGTAAGTGAAAATAACCCCCAGAGGGTCAGGAGGGAAGACAGAAAATGCTCACCCACACATGGCCCCTGCACCACGTACCTGGGATGCTGACTCATGCCGGCGTGCATTTGGTTACCAGTGTTCATGGAGCAGCCACAGGGACTGGGCCACTGGTCCAGACGCCACCAGGAGGGCTCTGCCCTTTCACGAGTGACAGGCCGGTGGTGAAGCCAGACAGCGGGAGACACACACGTCTGGTGGGGAAGCCGAGGGCCTTCGGAGCAGAGACAGCTCAGGGAAGCCTTCCTGGGGGAGTGAGGTCTGAGATGAGAGTTAAAGGATGAGTATGGTGAGGAGGCAGAAGAGGGCAGGGAAAAGCGTGTCCAGGCAAAGAGCATCGAATGTGGAGACTGGAGTTCCACAAAGGCACGTGTATTTTGGAAGAGTGGAAACGGGAAGAAGGACTTGACGGGGGGACGGCAGGACTGGAGAGGTAGGTAGGTAGGGGCTCCTGAGTGCCCTGAATGCCAGCAGCTTGGCCCAAGCTCCAGTCTCAGACCCATTGCTGTGTGCAGCCAGCTGGCCCTCTTGGGCCCTGGCAGGAAGGACCCCGGAACTCTGGTCTTCATTCCCTCTGGGCCTGGCACCCCTCGCTGCCCACCCCGGCCCGTTTGCTCTGCTTGCCTGGCTCCATCCTGACATGGCTGTCCTCAGGCTTGACAAGTGGCAATGGTCTGTTCCTGCGTTGTCATCCTTGTTGGAATGTGAGCCTCCCAAGTTTAAGGTTCATGTCCGGTCATTTCAGCGTGCTGAGTGCTTCTCACCACGCCTCACTTGTTTCAGACACACTCTGTGTTTGTTGAGTGCAGTTAACTTGCTAAAGGAAGAAAGTAATGGGATTCTCCCCACTTTCCCGGTCACTGGAGAGTGTCAGGAGCTATAGTCTTCCCTTTTGATTGCGGCTTAAATGCTGGGGCTTTCATTTATGTCAGAAAAGGGAAAGCAGTTTACAGCTGCGTTTCTGAGGACCACACAGGCTGTTTAATATTAGCACCTTGGAGACATCTATTTTCTGCACTTCTAAACCCAATTTCTTCATCCACTGATACTTGCTGAGAGGCAGTATGACTTCCTCGATTATGAACTTGCCTAAGTGAGCCCATTCGTAATAATATGTGTAATTACATCAAGATGTATAATGCGACAGACGTGAAAGCAGCATGAAGCCGACACGTGTAGAGAAACACGTTGGGCTGTATTGAACAGTGAGCCACAGTTTGCACGCTCTTTAGGAAAAACAACCTTCCCTCTTCTTTATTTCCCCCAGCAAGAACAGCTGCTGGATTGAACCTATCCAGGTGGACTTCCCTTCTTAACACAACAGCTCAATTTATCAGATTTGGTGGTGGAGAGCGGAGGGAGAGAGGAGAGGCCCTTGACACGTCTATGTACCTGTTTCCCACACATTTGACCATCCTTGAGAGGAGGGGGGCGTTCACCTGCTGTGGAGGGTTTCCTGTCTGTCGAGAAACTTCTAGAACTTCTTCTCTGGGCCCTGGCCTTGGCGATTGCGGAATTTTCCTTAACGACACTCACCCATCTCTGAAGCGCACCGGCGAGGCGAGTGTGGAGGGCCTCCTGAACCAGCTGGTCTTGGAGCACCTGCAGCTGGCCCCTCTGCTGTGGGGTGAGTACTGCCCATCACCTCTGGGTGCACGCGCCTCTGCTCAGAACTCGCGGGCTCGCATCGGATGCTGTTTGCCGAGGTCTTTGGGAAACTGGGCGGGGAGGGGAGCTCACCGTCGCGTGGACGTCTGCGTCTCCCAAGCTCGGTCCACGGGTGTCCGGTCAGCACAGCCTTGGGGCCAGGCTGCTGCCCTCTGAGCTCAGGCGTGGTGATGATGCGGACGTGTGCTCGGGTCCCCTGGCTGTGGAACCCGCGTCCTCCATGGTGGCACTTATGGTGTCTGCGTGGGTGTGGCTTCTGCAGATGCTTGTGCTCCTCGAGTGATGGGGTGGTGGGAGGGAGCGAGGGGTGGTTCCTCCTCTCTGCTGGATGAGCTCTGAGTTTGTTTGGTAAACACCTTAACTCACCCCGGTACTTGGCCGAGAGAGTGCTGGGAGGTGGCACTTAGAACAAGGTGTGTGAACACTCACTGCCTATCGCACCTGGAACCTTCACCCCAGTCTGTGCCTTCCGAAATAGCAGTGGAAAAATTTTGTTGAGAAACAAGCTCAAATGTAGAATTGTTATTGAAATGAGAGTGTGTATTATTCTTTGGAAATGATCCCGTCGTGTAATCTGTGCCGGGTCAGATGCAGACAATCATCGATGTGCCTTCTTTCTCTGCTTTAACCCAGAGACTGTTGTGAGTCAGTATCTGGTCTTCCCTCCAGTTAACTGATTAGCTCAGCCTCCCCATTTTTGCACTCTAGAGACACAGGAGAATCACCCCAGGGGCTGGAGGAGAAAGACAGTGCTGTCTCCCTAGTGTCCCCTCACTGGTCTTCAGTTTGTGAGAACCCCTCAAGCTGCCCGGAGCTGCCCACTCTCCTGGGCTCCCCACTCTCGGGTGAAGGTTGTTGGGGGTCTGGTGAGCGGCGCCGACATGGCAGCTGTGAGTGGGTGTGACACCCAGGGCTCCGTCCTCGGAATCTGCCTGCCTCGCTGGTCCAGCCCAAGTGAGAGCAGGTGGGTGGTGTTTCTGCAGAGAGTGTCCCAGTTTGCACCTCCCAGGGTGTCCCTCACTTCCCTAGCTCACAGGGCCTTGTCTCTTGGTGACCTGGGCTCAGACAGCGACTTCCACCGGATGGATATGACGGCTGAGGAGGGTTGGACACCCAGCCCTCCTGCCCCTGGGGATCCAGTCCTGGGAAACAGTGACACAAAGTGTATATTCAGGCATTGAGTCAGTCAAAAGAACGGAGTGCTCCAAGGCACTGGCCAGGTTAGAGGGTCCGCAGGGTTGGACTCCCAGAGATGGGGGTGGGGGCACCTTGCTGGATTTGCGTTGGTCTCCATACAGGTGTTTTCCTTGTCGCGTGTCACATGCACACGAGTGCTGGTATTAAGGATTTTATCCTGGAGAAGATGCATGAGTTGTTACACCATAGAACCAGGACTCAAATGCATTTCCTCCAGGAGGGCTTGTGGGCGGCACTCACAATGGCCGGCAGCCCTGCCCAGCACTTCCAGGCCCCCAGCAGCATCCAGTGCAGCCCGGGTCCTGTCTCTGAGGGTCCACATGCCCCAGAAACACCACGTGATATCTCCCTGTTCCGTGTCATGATTAGTTTAACTGTCGCCATGTCTGGCAGTTTCCAGGGAACATCTGTCTGCACGCATTTTTCTCTGATTTTCCTCGGCTTGCTTGTTTTGGAGTTATGAAGTCAAAAGATGTGTGATTTTTAAGGCTCTTGGGCTGTTTTGTCGAGTGGATGTGTGACTTTTGACCATTGACAGTGTCATGGGCGTTGTGAGAGCCCGAGTTTCTGAGGTGACTTTCCCACCCTGTAGAGCGTAGTTCCAGGGCAGGGGCAAAGAGGTGCGGTTGTGCGTTTTGTCTGCCCACCTCCTGCCCGGGGCTGGCCTCCCCGGCCCACCGCCCGTCTGCATTGGGGTGGGGTCTTCATCCCTGGCCCCAGCGCACGCCACCTTCCCCCTCCCTGTCACCTCTGCCGTGGAGCCGACGTCTCGGGGTCACCGGCTCCTTTCCACATCACTCGGGCTGTCCTACTGGTGTCTTAGAGGCAAGGTTCCTTACCTTGGAATCTTGACCTTCCCATTCATTCACTTCACAAGAGCAATATATTCTTGTTATAGAAAAGCAGGGCAAATCAGAAAAGTTCGACAGAGAAAAATTTTCTTTTTCCACTCTTCCATCCCCAAAACCAGTCTCTGTTTCATTTCACTTTTGTGCCTTTCTAAGTCTTTCTGCCATCCCCCAGTTTGCATTTTGTTCGCCAAGATGATCATGCTGTTCTTGTTCTCTGTGTCCTTTTTTTTTTAATACTTGAGAAAACAAGTATTTCTCATGTTATAAACACATCTTATACTTGCCGTTAAGTCCTCGTTATAATTTCATCAAGTGGCTGCGGGCTGACTTGCTGCTTGTTCTGGTGTCTGGGTGTTTCTGCTTCTTGGAGGTGTTTGTTGCTTCGTGAGTCACTTGCATTGGCTGCACACAGAGCTTTTTCTGTGTCTCAGGGTCACGCCCTCTGCAGGGAGATCCTGAAATGGTTCCTGTTCTGTGGCCTGGTGCCAGAGAGCACAGCGTCCGTGTTAGCATCGCTGGTCACAGGGGGCCTGCTGACAGAACCCACCACGCGTCTCAGTCCTGTCTCTGCTGCTTCCTCACGGGGCACCATCCTTGGGCAAGTCAGCAATTTCTCTGGGTCTGGGTCTCCCATTTGTAAACTGGAGGTGCAAGGGCAAGGTTTGAGGAGAGGCCTATGATGCGGCGAGAGTCAGTCCCTTCCCTCTCAGAGCGGACTGGGCCTGGGGCAGTGGAGACCACCAGGACTGATGTCGTATGGGGCTCCCGGAGTAGAGGAAGCCAGGTTCTGGGCTGGATTCTGGGGTGGCCCCAGGACTGTGTACGTTCCTTCTGCAGAGCATCCCAGGGCAAGGCGGGACAGAGGGTAGGGCTGGGGAGGGGCCTGGGGCAGGACCCCTAGTCGGCTGCCTCCTGTCTCCATTCTCTGGGAGCAGAACTGCGGGCTGGGGGAGGCTGCGCTCCCGCGAGGGTGGGAGCCTCCTGACGGTCTGTGTTGAGGGCTGGCTCCAGTTGTTTCCATGGATACCGGGCGGTGGTGACTAACCACCAGTTTCTCACACTGATTTGATTGTCCCACGACTCCGCCCCGTCTCCCTCCCCAGCTGACAACACTGTCCTCCTCACAGCTTCTCAGATGCACCAGCACCTGGTCTGCACCGGTGGGTCCCGGTCAGGTGTTGGCTACACTGTAGAGGGGATGCTTTCAGATCCTCCAGATAATCGCTGAGCAAGCCCCCGCCCCAGTGCCGAGCTGTGATGTGCAGGAAGCTCTTGTGGGCACGAGGGTGATGCCCATCTGGGAGACAGCCGCCAGGCGGCACCGCCCACTGCTGTGCCCCAGAGAACCGCATACCCTCATTGGGGAGCAAGACGCTGTGCCTAAACTCTCTATGTGGTCTGTCTGACCTGTGCAAGTCTTCAGGTCATAATTACCATCCCCCTGTTACAAATTGGGTGCTAGTTCTAGAAGGTCTTACAAGGTCTTCATAGAACTGTTCGGCTTCAGCTTCTTCCACACTACTGGTCGGGGCATAGACTTGGATTACTGTGATGTTGAATGGTTTGCCTTGGAAACAGACAGAGATCATCCTGTAGTTTTTGAGACTGCACCCAAGTACTGCATTTCAGACTCTTTTGTTGACTATCAGGTCTATTCCATTTCTTCTAAGGGATTCTTGCCCACAACAGTAGATATAATGGTCATCTGAGTTAAATTCTCTTCTTTTCAGAGCTATTTGTAAGGCCTCCTCAGACAGCCATTTTGCTTTTTTGCATTTCTTTTTCCTGGGGGTGGTCTTGATCCCTGTCTCCTGTACAATGTCACGAACCTCTGTTCATCAGGTACTCTGTTTATCAGATCTAGTCCCTTAAATCTATCTGTGACTTCCACTGTATAATCATAAGGGATTTGATTTAGGTCATACCTGAATGGTTTACTGGTTTTCCCCACTTTCTTCAATTTAAGTCTGAATTTGGCAATAAGGAGATCATGATCTGAGCCACAGTCAGCTCCTGGTCTTGTTTTGCTGACTGTATAGAGCTTCTCCATCTTTGGCTGCAAAGAATATAATCAATCTGATTTCAGTGTTGGCCATCGGGTGATGTCCATGTGTAGAGTCTTCTCTTGTGTTGTTGGAAGAGGGTGTTTGCTATGACCAGTGTGTTCTCTTGGCAAAACTCTTATTAGCCTTTGCCCTGCTTCATTCTGTGCTCCAAGGCCAAATTCTAATCCCAAAGAAAGGAAATGCCAAAGAATGCTCAAACTACCGCACAGTTGCACTCATCTCACACGCTAGTAAAGTAATGCTCAAAATTCTCCAAGCCAGGTTTCAGCAATACATGAACCGTGAACTTGCAGATGTTCAAGCTGGTTTTAGAAAAGGCAGAGGAACCATAGATCAAATTGCCAACATCCGCTGGCATCCTCTTTGGATCATTGGAAAAGCAAGAGAGTTCCAGAAAAACATCTATTTCTGCTTTATTGACTATGCCAAGGCCTTTGACTATGTGGATCACAATAAACTGTGGAAATTTCTGAAAGAGATGGGAATATCAGACCACCTGACCTGCCTCTTGAGAAATCTGTATGCAGGTCAGGAAAGAACAGTTAGAACTGGGCATGGAACGACAGACTGGTTCCAAATAGGAAAAGGAGTACGTCAAGGCTGTATAGTGTCACCCTGCTTATTTAACTTATATGCAGGGTACATCATGAAAAACGCTGGGTTGGAGGAAGCACAAGCTGGAATCAAGATTGTTGGGAGAAATATCAGTAACCTCAGCTATGCAGATGACATCACCCTTATGGCAGAAAGTGAAGAAGAACTAAAGAGCCTCTTAATGAAAGTGAAAGAGGAGAGTGAAAAAGTTGGCTTAAAGCTCAACATTCAGAAAACTAAGATCATGGCAT